TCTACAGACCATTCTCATCTTCGTCATAGTGATTCGTTTCACAAATTGCGAGTTTTATACGTTGTTTGTGTCGCGCTGATTTGTTCGCTTGTGCTCGAATGTATGTCAGTATTTATGTGTGTATGTGTGCGTGTCTATAGGAATGTGTGTATGTGTTTACATGTTTGTGTGCCTGTGCTCTGATATCTGTTGTTAATCTTTACGCTTTGTTTTGCTTTAATTTCTAAATTCCTGTCCATTTGCTGCAGACCAACTTTGCTTTTCGTTCTTCGCATAAACATTCCTATATACTACATACATATTCATTGTATGCCTGGTATGTGTGTATATATTTACATAGTATGTATGTATGTATGTATTCATTCTGCCGATGAAGTTACTCCGAACTTGTTATGAATTTTTCCACTGTGTGTTCATTGAGGCGCATTAAATTAATTGCTGTTTGCTTCCTCTGATTTGCTTCGCTTGCAAATTGGTAAAACTTTTTATCACTTCACGGCCTCACAGTAAAATGTCGTTTCTTATGCTATATCCAATTTTTTTTTCCAAGAGGCATAGTAATTGGAATTAAATAAAAAATAAAAAACTTCTATAATGAACGCATTAAGATCGACAATTTTCACAAATTTTTATTTAAAAGCAAAAGCTTGATTATAACACATTGAAAAGGAGCTAAAAAAGAAATAACTAACTAGCTTTATGTTTGAACATGAGGATAAGAAAATTTTACGCTGCTAATAAATAGAGACACTGAAGCTATTATCGCAGTCTGCACGACTAAGATACTAACCTATTAGCAATACTTTATTTATTTAGCTTATAAATTACTTCAGGAGTAAAAATTTGTATTTATTTCCCAAAGATGATAAGTTGGTAACATATAACGCTTATATCAACTTAAACTCCTTTAAATTAATAATAAATTTCATGCGGTAATATAGGCTGCTTATGCTCGAAGAAAAGTTGCACATAGAAAAACATATTTTACTTTGCATTAACGACTTAGACTAAGAATATAAATTGTTCTTTATTTCACAACAACCAAGCCAAATACTTGTATATATTCAAATTTTCGGTGCCCCGTGCAGTGCTTGACTGCATTGCACTAAAAATTTGAACATATATTATAGTACAAACTAATCTGAGGTGTTGTCAGCATTGCCTTAGCGCGCCTTGACAGTCCGAAATATTCTGGTAATTTATTTGTGGTTTAGTTGAGGGCGACACAACTGCGACCAAAAGACAATGTCAACCAAATGCAAGCAAATGCGGCAACAATAAATTTATCAAATTTCATGCATCCTTGACATATGAATATTGCATAGAAAGAGGCAAGAAAATGCTATGGCACAGTTCGCCAAAAAGTTTCTGCCGTGAGCGAACTGCCTCTGAAAGTGCAAGTGTATTTGTGTGTGTGTGAAATGGAGGCGTGACTTGGGCAATGCGCATATTTCCGACAAGCTAAGCAAAACTTTTGGGTTCGCTTATCTGCGCACACGACCGCCTTAATGGCACACAATCAATAAAACGTTATGTTACGTGATAAAAAACATATTTTTTAATCTAACACACAAGCGAAAGGAAAGGCCCAAAAATATATTATTATACATGACATAGACGTACACGCACATACCCCTACATATTGCTATAGATTAGATGGGCATATGATGATATATAACGCCCACATCTATTATGTGCAAATGTTTATTCAGCAGTTGCCTGTTTGCTTATCTGTGGCCCAGTTAGGGTCTCCCTCTGCATTCATCCTCATAGACAATTTGCAAACGAGTGAGCATATATTTTATATTATTGCTTTTATTTATCTTCGATTGCCCATCATTTCCTTTTTGTCTGTGAAAACTTTCGCATTTATGCTTCAATGCCTGAATTTAATGTTTTTCTGCGGCCATTTCGGAATTATGTTTCAATTAAATTGCAATCAGAAATCAATGAATTTTCAATGCAGCAACCATGTGTTTTCTATTGATTTACACACACAAGCACACGTGCAAATGCACACACACACACACTCACACACACATGCATTACACACGTAAAGTGGCAACGTATAAGGCCAAATTGTGGCATAATCAAAAACTTTGTTTTACATACAATGGCAGTGCCCCAAAAAGTATGCTATGGCCAAAATTGCAAAAATCAAAATTGCAACGGTATGTAATGGCGCTCGTTGAAGTGAGTGCCTTTGTTCACCAGCCGATGTGTTAGTGTGGTCGTGTGTGTGTGTGTGTGAGTGTGTGTGTGTATTTGTGAGAGTTTGTGTGACACAAATTGAGCACGACACGAAAAACTGACAAACATTTCAATAAAGTTCCACAGCAACATTGAAGTCGACGTCCGCAGCGGCAGAGGTTTGGCAGCGACGTCACAAGATTGCCAAACGCAGATTGTTTAGAAATTTAGTTTTATGAGCCACGAACGCGCTCGTCGTTACTGCTATAGCAACATACTGCTGCACCATGGATCAGGTTATATCTTGCTTAGCAATTTGTTGTGTGCAAAGCAATTTAAAAAGTACTATTGAACTGAATAATTGAATAAAGTTCAACACTTTCTAGTAAAAGGAAAACTTTTCTTCGATGTTCATCTCTCGATATTTTGTGTTCGTCCCAACACACCACACAAATATAATAAGAAAGAAATTCCAACAACAGTTTCCAAGTCTTTGTATAGTTAGAAAAGTTGCTGAGTACCCCCACAGCCATTACTTTTGCAAAACAAATTTGAATGTACCCGTATTGTTAAACTATTAATCTTATTGGCTTTTCTAGTGCTTTCCTTGTTTTAGGTTAAGACTTCTTAAAACAATTAGTGTCAAGAAATTTATTAAATTTCAATGATATGAACTTTTGTAAATAGATTTTGAAACTAAATTTGCGTTATATGAATTGTATAAATAACAAATAAGTCAAATGAGTCTTTATTCTTAGATTGCAGTTTTGGTTTAGTTAAACAAATCTATGTAAAGATTTGTTCCATAGTACACTGAGGCGACTGACACAAACATGTGTCGTTGTTGTTCTTGCTGCTGTTGTTGCTGCTTCTGAACCACCAGCTGGGACAAGGAAGCGCTGCAATGGCAGCAGTATCAGCATTATGACTAAGCGCTATTTGTCATATGTTTGTAGTACTCGTGTCCTTTCAATGTAGCTCATACACACACACACACACACACACAGACAGACTTCAATTCACAATGTGCTGGCCGAAGCATTTTTGACTGGGTGTGTGTGAGTTTGTGTGCATTGGACAGCAGCGTCTTTTGTTCGGCAACTTGTTGTTGACAGCATTTGGTGCTTTTGTTATTCGTTGGCGCAGCATGCGCTTTTGCAACAACTGCACACAAAAGCGCATTTGCACACACACACACACACACACTTTTAAATGTATGTGTGAGTGTGCGAAAGTGAAAGTCGTTGCCGCACTTTAGGTGAACAATTCGTTCGCTCTAACTACTTGCTTACTCCTGCAGCTTAACTTTGGATTATCAGGTAAATGAGCGAGAGCGCACAAAAGTATGCTACGACGATTAATCACTAATGACAGGCCTCAAAGCTATATTTCACGTTAATATAAGGAACGCGCCGAAATTTGCTAAGCTAATGGGCAGAGCTTAAAATAAACGAGCGAACTAAGCCAATTGCCAATTGCCTTTCATTCGTCGACCATTAGGTTTATTAAAGCCTGGAATGGAATGGCAAAATCGTTGGGGTCAGTCAACATTAAATCCACATCGCAGATCAACCTGCGGAGGCGTATGGTGCGGTAATTTATGTGACCAACAACGCCAAATGCAGCTAATTTGACTAAACGATGCGGCTATTCATTCGGCAAGGGCCTCGGTCAGACATATCCATGGGTTGCACACATTAAGGCGGATTTGAATTGTGAGGGGCATCAAGTGAAAGCCACTCACGTTTAACCAATTTTGACACGCGCACACATATACACACACACACAAACAATCAGCAGTAACTGTGGCAGCAGCAGATGCGGCATAAGCAAACACAATAACACGCAAAAAAATTGCTTAAATGTGCGCATCAAACGGCGGACAGACAAACACGCAAACACAAAAAAGGGCAAACGCTTTGAGGAGAGCAGCATCAGGCTACGTTTTTTATTGTGTGTGCAAATTGTTGTTGTTGTTATTACAGTTGTTGCGGGCTCGCCTTTTGCTGCTGTTGCTGTTGTTGTGTAAGTTGGCGCAATAAAATTGTAAAACAAAGTAGCAACACTCAAAAATCTATTGTTGCCCTACTCACCGGGCAATATGCGCGCCACAAAGTAGGCAAAGAAATAAAGGAAAAGAGTGGAGCTAACTTTTCATCATGTCGGTTTTTTGTTTGCTATGTGCCTGTCTATATGTATGTGCTCGTCAAAGGCAAACAGGCTGGAAAATAAAAGAAAACGACAAAGATGTATAAAACAGACAAAAAAACCAACTAACAAAGCTATGCTTGATGGGCTCCGACGAAAGAATACTCTGTGGAAGAAAGTTTTAGCTGCTAAAAAAGTATTCATTAAAATGGGAAGGGATCCTTTGAAACTATAAAATTATAGTGTACAACATATTACTATGTGGATGTTATTTTATGTACTCCATTATTTATATAAAACAGTTATAATAACACAAAATAACTTTAAACTTTACTAAAACACAAATCGAACAGACTTGTTGCCGATTAACGGATCTATTCATATATTATATCAAATACTTTCACATAAGCACGTTACTCAGAGCAAAATACATATATGAGCAGAAAATAAATAGCAGAGTATTCTTGATGTTTCTGCAAGAGTTCTCTGCGTACCTTTAAAGCCATTGTTGTTATTGCAACTACAAGTATATTAAGGAGTCGGAATCTAAAAAATTTCTTGAAGGAATTGCTCACATTGCGAAAAGTCAAATGTCATTTAAAGCAAAGCTTCAATATGTAACTATTTTATTTAGAGAATTACTTTAGTCAACATATCAGTTTATGTCGTTTTTACACATTGCTACTAAAACATCTATAAAATGGCTTTTACGAGTCCCAGACAAAGGGTTGCCTCATAAACGCGATCAATCCGTGGCAGGGCATCCGCAATATACACCGTTATGGGAAACAGCAAGACCCATTTGGGGCTATGTCGCGGTCGCTTTTAATCAAGTGGATATGGATCGATTGTCCAAAGTAGGTCCCAACCGTTTATGTGCCGAGTGGGTGTTGAAAAATGGAGGAGGTGTCCGCTTTGTGGACAATCCCTCAAGACTGTTAAAGGACTACAATTCTTTGCCACCGGAGACGAGCAGTGTACGAGTTAAAGTTGTGGACGCCACTAATGCATCGATCATGAAAATTGGCCTGGAACACTTTAAGGGTTGTAAACACATTGACACGGTAATCTTACACCAATGCAAGCATCTTGAAAACGATGGCCTGGGCGGCCTAACTCATCTCATCTCATCGCTAACGCACTTGCAAGTGTCTGGCTGCTACAATATAACCGACAAAGGTCTCGCTGTCATTGGAGCATTACAGAACTTGAAGCAATTGATTATCTTCGATATGTTGTATGTGAAGGACATGGACGAGGTGGCTAATTATCTTAGAGAGCACTTGCCGAATTGTGTGATAAATGCAACAAAATTTGTAATGTAATCTAAGCGTTGAAAATTGTTTCTACAAATTTTGTGTATACAATAAATATAAAATATCCAAATTAAACTAATTAAGTCTAAAAATGTTTAAATACAAATACAATACACAAATAAATATTTTATAAGGGAGAGTTGAAAATGCCGTAATATTGTTTGTATACCTTATGTTAGGGTATACCTTTTAAGACAAAGCGTTTTTGTTGTCGTTGTTTTTGTGCGGGTTGTCAAACGTGGCGCGCATGACAAGCACGGGTAAGTGGGAATCGTGGGGTTAAAGGCAAGCTACCACTTCGTTAAACTCATGAAAATCACTTAACAGCAGGCAGACACATGAGCGTAAAAAGTGAAAGGCAAGGAATATTGAAGAGGTGGTTGGGTAGTTGTCGTCGTCGCTGTCGTTGTCTTGCCAGCCATTTTTCCATTGACTGATGTTCATGAGAAAGTCGCTCCATGGCGTCCCGGTAAAGGTGCGCGCCGTAGCACAGCTTAAAGAGCAAATTGATTTAACGCGCGCAAGCGGAAACAGCTGTAGGTGCAAAGGCATTTGAAGGCATTGGAGGACTGAGGAACTTTCGGTTGCAAGTCTGTCGCAAATTTAAACGCTTCGCTGACTATGGAAAGAGCTACGGCAAGTGGGTAGTGAAGTGGGTGTCACGAAATGAAAAGCAATGAAATGAAATTAATGCAAAACCGCGCACATTTATAGCACAGAGCTCCAAATGGGAAAACAGAAGGGGTAAAGAAAAAACGAACCTGAGGGAGCATAAAGCAAATACAGCGCAAAACAACTGCATACTTATAGACACTAGTGGTGGACAAAGAGTCGGAGCAGACGAATCGCTGGCATGGAAAATGCAATTTATTATGTAAACTAAAAGCAGATGAAAAAGGGCGCAGAGAAGAGCACGACTGACGGACAGGCAGACAGCCAACAGATACACTGATAGAGGGCAAGACAGAGGAGGAACAAACAGGGCGACAACCAAACAGACAGCAAACAAAATGCATTATTATAGAAACAGCAGCAGTGGAAACAACAACAAGTACACCGAAAAAAAGGAAAAATACTTTGAATGTCCGTGGCATGCAGTCTATTTCATATTCATTTAATTCAAATGTACAAGTCTTTAAGGATCACGTTCATTTGCCAGTGCTTCTTTAAGATTCGCAACAAAACGAACTACTTGAAGATCAGTAAAATATCGTATAGGTCGAGATTAAAATAGACGATAAAGGAATAATGTTTGTTGAAATGTAAGCAAGTGCTTAAACAGTGAGGACGATTATGCTCAAAAAGGATGTGAAAACCTAGATAGATCCACAGATCCTTTGCTTCTCATATTTGTACACCCTTTGTATACACTGCAAATTGTAATTGTATATTGTTTTTGGTGTGTAGGCTTGTAAGCAGGTTACATCCTTATATGATCCTATCCGTCAATTACCTGCGATGCAGTCCGTTAAAAGGTGTTTCTTCTTTTGGCAAAGAACAAGTTTAAATAATTGATCATATTTCATTTTATTTAACCTTTATATCTGCATAATTTTCGATATGGCGATTATTTTTCCCAATGTACAACAACGAAGAGTTGTCGCATGCTTCAAGCTAGATAATTCAATTTTTATTTAATTTTGCACAACAAATACAATAAATTCTGCTTGACTTGTCTATGCATGTTGTTATGCGCGCCATCTTTCTCTGCCTCTCCCTCTCCCACCGCGTCAATGCGATTCAATGGGTTTTCCTATTTCCAGCAGTGGCTGGCTATTGGAGACAAGCCAAATAAATGCTGCATTGAGAGTCGGGATGCGATGCTTAAGTAGCAGCAGCTGAACTGCAAATGTTCTGTAGTATACTTGAAGGCGTATTCTATCTACTCGGCACTAGCAGTCGCACAAAAGGCAATCGCAGTAATCATAATACTCGTAAATGCGCGCACTCTGCGCGACAAACACCAACACGAACATCAACAACGAGAATAGCAAAGAAAACACTTTCTAAAATAAGCGCAGTTGACAAATTTGACATTTCTGGGGTGAGAGTGGGCGCATTAAAAATTAAAGCTCGTCAACCTCTGTGAAAATTCACACGACCAAAGACTTTAGTAACGTCCGAGCTGCCTTTGCCGTTGGCCATAAGCTGTTGACACCACTTTTGTGTGTTCTGCTGGCAGAGCGGTTTTTGGCCAAAGCGAACAAGTGAGCGGGGGAGCTAGCGATGTATATGAGTGATATGCAAAGTGCTGCGGGCCCGTATACCCACCTTTTAGGTTGTGAACGGCTGCCGAGACTGGGGACGCGGCAGACAGAATCACTGATATGCAGTGACGACAGCTGTGTGCTCTCGCATTTTTTTGGATTCCACTTTAAGTTTGCCGGGGACTGATACGGGCAAAGGTTGTGACAGTTTTGCGGTGTTACACACATGACATCTGGGCTTACTTGTCTGGTTTATGGTTTTGAGCGGCAAAAAAACGGAATTATATTTGATATTTGAGCAGCGTGTGGTGAGCAATGAGACCATAAGTAGCCACTGACATATGGCTTGCAGAAATGAAAAGTATGAAGCACCAATTACACCGTAAGACGGGCTTTAACCTGCTTTTTTCGATTACTGACAGGTCTTAGAGCTTTGGCTCGTTGAAGTTTGAAACTAAATTTAAGTTTTCTTAATGTCATTTGTAATGGTACTGACATGTACAGATACGAACTATTTCATAATTTTGAAGGCCTTCAATTCAAAGAAGAGTGTAGCTAAAAATTTTAATTTATCTTTTACAATAATGCCCTACAATCTAAAAGACAATGTATCGAATATTTAAGATACTTACAAAACGATAGTTCAGCATTATTATCATGCCATCATAAAGGCGGCCTAGGTTAAGCACTTTAATATTAAAAATTCCACTGAAAGTGATTTAATACTTGTGCTAATTCTCTGGCCTTAGCATTTGTGCCCTAAAAGCAAATCCAGTTTAAACAAATTAATGTATATAAAAAGGATACACTTTTAATAAACAAATCAGTCAGAGTTCAAATTTATTGAGTACACACAATAGGGCAAGGGCGCAACATTTGCTAATTGCCATACCCAAATCAAAAGGTCAGCCCATATAGACGAGGACGCACCCAACCGTTTTTAGGCAGGAAGCATCTAAATGATATAAAATACTCCAGCCTTTTACAAAAATGTACGAAATACACGCAAGCAATCAAGCCAAAAGCGACAGCAGTAGCAGCAACAACAATAGTATGTTGCAAATTGTTTATTTTTAGCACGTTTATAAGGCCATCAAAAAAGGTCAAGTTGTGCAGGGAAAGGCCCGACAAGCCGACAGTCGACCCAAACATCAAACTCATGAATATGAGTAACTTTTGTTGTTGTTATTGCGTTCGTATTAGGTCACACTTTGCATAATTAATTTTGATCCCTTTTTTTCCCCTATACATATATATAGGAGGGAAAAAATGCGCAGGTTATTTATGCGGAAACATGCGCGCCACCGCCTTTGACATCAAAATTGGTTAGCTAGGGGGAAGGCAAAGGAAAAATATATTTCTATTAATTTAAAAAAGAAAAAAAATTAAAGCCCACATCTAACATTGTCTGCAATCCTTCCTATTTTAGACCTGACCACCGCACGACATCTAAATAAATTGCATGCATTTTTTAAAAAATTTCCCCAAGGTGGTATATTTAAAAGGCTTGGGGACACAAGCACACACGCGCACACAGGCGAACCTCCTCCGTATGCTGACTTAAGCTTAAAATCAAACCATTTGTCAGGGGCGGCAGACAACATGACAGCGTTGCATGTTTCACAGGGGCATGAGCCACTGTGAGTGAGAGTGCGAGTGTGTGTGAGCGTGTGTGTGTGTGTGTGTGTGAGTGTAGTATGTCAGAGTGTCCCTTTTAAAGTGACACATGACTGCAATTTTGTGCCATTCAGCTGTGCGTTCTTTAACCGCAGCGTGCAATATTTCAAGAATGATTTCTTATACAATCTACAGAAGCTGCTCCTTTCAGGCCTGTTGGCCACATTGACCCTCAAATGCAGCTCTGCAGTCGGCGATGTAGCCAGCGTCGCTGCTGGCTGGACGTCGACGTTCGTTGCCTCGGCTCTGGGTCAAAGCGAAAGTGGCACATTTTGGTTGAAAATTTGTGTTCTATCTGGGTTACTGTGACAGCAGAAGCAGGCTGTTGTTTTTCTGCAACTGTGCAGCATGGCCTATAACACACACACACACACACACATACACATACAAACATTCTCACACTATACGGCAGACCCAAATAAACATTTCAGGCTCTCTGGCTCACGTGTTACGCTGAACTTGTGCGCCATTTTTATTGCCGCCAGCCTAGCAACCCCTTCCCAACAACCCCTACCCCCTATCCCCTATACCCTAGCCTTAGTCATGATTGTTGTGTCGACTCGCCCGCTCACACTCTCACCAAATTATCCTCATCCCTCGTTTGCGCTTTGTTTTTCGTTTTTGTTGATGTTTTTACTTTCGCAAGATTTCCACTTGCTGCAATTTTTGTGCTATGTTTATGTTTGTGTTTCTGTTCCCTCCTCTCATGCCGACGGCTACCACGCGCTTCGCAAGCGCTGCTCAACTTTAGTGTCGAGCGCTTTTTGTTTATCTAAGTGCTTAAACTCTTTGCCAAGCGGCAGCAGCGAAAAGAAAAACTTTAAAATAAACTTAGCAGAAGTTCCCTAAACCAATTAATTGCAATTTCATGCGTAATTAATTTAAGCTGCATTTCGTGTTAAGCGTTTCGAAATAAGACTTGGATAGTCGGCAGGAACGAAACTGAAAATAATGAAGACATGGGAAGCAAAGCGCCTCCTGAAGCTTGGCCAATATTAGCTGGCAACAGTGATAGCTTGGAGTGAAAAGACCAAACGATTTTTAACTGACACTCGGATTAGTGGATTAAAACTTATTTTTGTTGGTTTTCTCAACGGCTTGTTCGAATTAACGCCCAAGTCGTGCCATTGTTATAGTATTCAACATTTGAGCGCTGGTAATTTCTACATCTTATCGGATTTATTAAAAAGC